CTGCTGCTGTTTTCAACGGGAAGCAAAAGGCCCCAAAGACACAATTCAGAGATATTTAAGTAATAAACCAGGTAGATCTAGCCCTAGATATTTGACAGAGAGAGAGGGATCACAAAGGAAATAAAATTTCAAGGACTCCTTGGCGGAGTAGCGGCTAACTAAATTAAAAACATTACACTATTTCTTGCAGAAATTCCACTGAAGGTAAAATCCTGTTGACCTCAAATCATCTCGAAATTTCACTGGGACGCCGAGTCAATAATTTTCCCCAGGTTAGGATGCTGCCTTTATGTTGCTTAGCTGAACTACCCCTAAAAGCAGCTCACAGAACAGCTGAAGTTGGAAGGGACATCCACAGATTGTCTAGTTCAACACCCCCTGCTCTAAGCAGATGAACTACAGCAGGTTACTCTGGGCCAGGGGCAGTCAGGTTTTGACTGTCTCCAAGGATGGAGGCTCCACAGCCTCTCTGTTCAGCCTCTTCCAGTGTCTGACCATCCTCACAGTAAAGAAGCTTTTTTTTCTTATGTTTAAGTGGAATTTTCTGTATTTCAACTTGTACCCACTGCCTCTTGTCCTTTCACTGGGCACTTAGAGTCTGACTCCATCTTTATTCCCTCTACTCAGGTACCAAAGAGTAACTCCCGATCAGTGTCAACCTGATATAACCACTGGACAATCTATTACTGCTGAAACCCTGTTAGTACTATATCACATCATGCAAGACAAGAGCTATGCCTGGAAAGGGGAAGGCAAGCCTGGCAAGTGGCAGCTGCAGGTACTCAGCCACACACAGTCAAAGTAAGAAGGTCCAGTAGATCACCACCTCTGTATCCATCAGTCATGTTCTGCTCTCTCTCTTAGTCCATCTGTGTCAGAGAAGAAAACTCTCATATGCTTGGCAAGCACATCACACTGACTGCAACTCAGCAAAGACAAGACTGCAGAAAAACTTTAAAAAAATGAAATAAAAAAACCCAACACACTTACGATTTCCTTGGAAATATCAGGTTTATCAGGAGATTTGAGACTTCTGCTTCCCTGTTTTAGGTAGAGGTTTCACCACATGACTCATGCACTGTGAATGTTAAAGGGGAGCTTTCTCCACTCCTATTTGAAAAGAATTCCCAAGAGAAATTTGTCCCAAATTGTTTTGCTTAATTAGAAGGAAAACACATCTACCTTTTCAACAGTATGAATAGAAGTCACTACTCTCAGCTAATATTTCATTCCCTGCTCCTTCTGTTTTGATAAACCTACCAGCTGGCCACAGTCTTCCAAGGTAAACACAGCCTTAATTTCTACTGTACAAGGCCAAAAAAAATTCCATCTTTCCTGTTATGTGCTGTAGAGAAATGAAATGGGACACTGCTGCTGTTTCACTTTCCTGTGCAGGACATCCCTTCATGAAACAAAACTGCTCACAGCAGTACCTTCAAGACTCAAAGAGATCAGTCTGCCACAGAGAACTGCTTTCAACCTTCCTTTGGCTTGATAGGTTAGGTAAGGATAGCTTCGCTATTACTTTACTTCTTCCCTTAGTGAACACAAATTGTGATGCTTTGCTGTAACTGGCAATTGTCATTCACCCCAGAAATGGTGGCAATTCTTAAGCACTGCATTTATAGTGTGTGTAAAACAATCCCTTAGCTTGGGCAGGTGCTACATGAATATAAAATACAATACAGTCACCCATGACATTTAGAAGCAATAGTTAACTAGAGCCTGGACTTCAACATCAAATAGATTCCAAGGAGAAAAGTTCACATTGCAAAATTTGGGAGTGGATATCAAGCAGAGCTCATAAGCATTTACATCAAAGATTTGGTTTCGTCCTATCCTTATTAAACAGAACCTGCCTTCACTGAACTCGCCAGCTCTTACTGCAGCCAAACCTTTGCCATGGATATTTTAAAGCAAAGTATTTCAACACAGAAACTGCAGCTTCCAAACAATGTCTGTTTTAATGAATGCCTACTAGCCTCCGAATAAGTACTGTGTTTCTTCTAGCAATAACGTATGTATGACTATATCAGAATTAACCAGGATCAGTTTCTGCTTGCTTTTGCAATCAGAATATATTCTGCTTGTGGTCCAATACATTTCACATCAAGCCAAATTAATTCCAGAATAGATCGAAATTTAGTTGCACCAGATATGTATCTGGCCCCTTTTGCAAAAGCAGAATGAAGCAGTTCTAGAGAGAGTAAAAGGAAGTGATTGATTATAAGCACCTCAAGAATTTAGCATGTATACAACCTGTCCTGACAGAGCCCTGCAATACACAACAAAAAATTAGCTGAAGAAACGCTGCTTGCAGTCCCCTAATGATAATTTTAAGTGCAGCAGCCAACTTTTTTATACAGAGGACTGTTTCCCAGACTTGCCCAACCTTAACCAATTACTCTCACAATAGCATTGAATAGGATATTTAGAATGTCAGCCCAATTGTTCTAACTTGCCCCCTCTGCCATGCCCCAATTTTTGACAGGTTTGTTCCTCTATTGCTATAGTGACTGCCATCCCTAATGCTTGTGATCAAAGTCATGTTTTAGAGGTCACCTCCATTTGAAACAAGGGACATTTTTGTGTGAGCAGGGGAGAGGGGGGCAGAGAGAGAGAGAGAAGGGGCTGTGTGATAGGGGAGATTCCCTCCTTTCTCAGTGTTGTAGTCTCCCTTCCATTTCATCCTGCTCCTAATCCTAGGACCCGCTTTTAATTCCCTAACCCCCTCTCCTACTCCCAAGCATTCTATGCAAGTTTTCATCTTAAAGGATTCTGGGGACTATGATCTATTGACTGGAAATTTTTTGCAGCTTTCAGCCTGGGGTGATTCTCCCAAACACGTAACTGGAAGGACCCTACCCTGTAAAATTCACTCACTAAGCCTAGCAAGTCATCAGCTACAGCCATTGAGGTATCACACACACAGTCTTACACTTGCCACTTATGCACAATTACCACCATCCTGAACCCTCTCCTACAAGAGCCACAATCACCTTAAACAGATCATCCGACTACAACAAAATTTTTCTCATCTGTAATTTTCAATCACCACAGCCTCTCTGGTGGAAGGTGCAGTGCAAAGAAAGCTTAGGCATGCTCAGGTGTTTATACTGTTGCCTAAGACAGTTTTGAAGTAACGTTCCAGAGAGTAAAAGGTTTGCTTGCAAGAGATACATTAATATTCCAGAATCATTATTTTACTGCAATAGCCCACTTGCCTTTTTTAATTCAGTTGTGTATGAACACTGTCCTGTTCAGAAACTAGAACTCCAAAATATCTTTACACTTAATCAGCCACTATAGCACTGGAACTTCAGTCATGCACATTCTAAAATAAATTATAATAATAAATTGCAGTATCCCACTGTTTGCTTCAGTAAGCTAGAAAATCAATCATGCAAAGGCAAAACAGAGAACATTTCTCTTTAAAATCAAATAGAATTTGGCAAGATTGCCTCAATCATTGGAAAAAGGAACCAGCATTGCATTACTGCCAGAAATCAGTTCTACCAAGCACTGACAACACATAAACACCTACCTTGGGATGCCCGTGCAGCTCTTCACTGTTTGAGAGGGTAGCATTGAAAGGCTCTGTATACTGATTAGGTTCTTTCTTCATCTTTCTCTCTCTCTTTGCTGCCGTAACTCTGAAGAGGCAAAACTGCTGACAAAGTAAAGTTGCCACAAATACCCAGGTGCACCCCTTCATTTTGAAAAGGGAGGGGCCAAGTCAGGAAGGGCACTCTCCAAGCACAAAAACCTTCACCACCAATAATAGGAATAGACACAGACTTCTCTCTAAAAAAATAAAAAATAAAAGGTTAGAACTATTAAAGATGATCCTCTGGGCTATGCAATGTCAAATGAGCAGCATGCATGGATGCGCTGGTTGCTGGAGAGATCTCTGTTCAAGCAGGACACATGGAAATGGTATATGTAAACTTGTTTGAAAATCTGGATTCACTCGAAGAAAGAGGTAAGTCCATTCAGCCTCTTGAAGCTTACATAAATACAAGAGGCCCTGGAAAGTCCTGCCACCCACCTTGAAGTGTCGTGCTCCCCCAGCCCCAATAAGTCTTCAGACTCGTTTAAAATGCACTGAACTATGAAACCTAGAGAAGTCAAATTGCTCAGGGCAACAGTTGCTCAGGCCGGAGCTGACAACACAAACTCATTAGGGGGGTTGTTAGGTTGTTCCTCTTCAACAGGAGACTTCACTTTCTGTCATTTGAAGCATTGTGTTCAGTTCAAAGCAGGCTTGAATACGTTCCATCCATTCTCTCTTAAATGATACTTCCCTTTCCTCAGAGACAAGTCCTCATCCTTTCCTTTCAAGATGCTGGGGAACTGTAACCCAAGTTTGCTACAGCCACTGCTCTTCTGAAGAGGCTGAAAGCATCGCAGCTCAGCCAAGTGCTCAGCCTTCTAAGGAGAAAATAAATTTCTCATATCGTAAAAGTTAAAACAGGGAGAAGCAAAGAATCTGAGGATGTACCTAGGTCCATTAGGAGCAGATAAACTTTTCCCAAGTCTAGCTTCTCTCCCTCTTTAGCTCGGTTTATCTTCACTTTTCTTTAATGAGACGATGAGCAGTAAGTACCGATGCCGCAAACAGCTGTCAGGATGTAGAATCTCGTGTCTTTTTCATCCTCATCTCCCCTCACACTAGCCAAGATTTCAGGTACCTCTGAGTGTAGATCACGTCTGATTTTTCTTGCTGCTCCTTTCCTCAGCTGCACACTGGCAAAACCCTCCTCAGCTTTTGCTTTACCTCAGCAAATAAGTACTTCTTTCCTGAATGAGTTTCCACCAACTTCAAGAAAGGAGAAAAAAAAAAAAAAAAAAAAGAAAAAAAGGAGGAGGGATCACATTCTAATGAGCTGTCAAGCCTATTCTCTTCACATTCCTATTAGACTCACTGATAAGTCGAGCTGGCCCGTGTGCCAGGCAGATTTAAATCAATGCCCGTTCCCTGCTCCCTCCCCTCAGCCCTATTCTGTACCTCCCCTTCATTATCTCAGAGAAATCACCATTTTTCTGGGAAGTTTGTAAAATTGTACATGAGTGTGTGGTAGAGCTAAAAATATGTGGCTTGGAATAGGCACTCAGCATCACACCACACATTGATACATCAGAACTCTTGCTTTATGCTCTAGTTAGCTGTGTTCCATACAACATTTTCCCCTAGCTCTCATTAGAGGCTGGCTCAGTGAGGGCTTTCTGATTTCTTTACAGGAGGGTGGGCTGTTTATTAAAAATAACAGAAAACGAAAGGTTACACATCTCCTACGAGCATTTCATAAGGGAGATCTTGAAGTACTTGGACAGTCTGCAAATCTTAGTCAGTTCCCCACCACAAAGAACAAATATTCCTGTTCTTTCTACAAATACAGATAGTGATGCAAAAATTTACCTGAGATTGTACCATGAGAAAGTTCAAGAATGATAAAAGGTTGAAGATCACGTAATTTGAAGTCCCTTATGCGGTCAGCAAGCAACAGATTTACTTTCTTTTAACAACCCCTTTACCATGCCTTCTGTAATCCAAGTAATAATGCCAGCACAGTTCTTCATTGGACTTTAAAGGCAGCCAGGCTGTATCAGAAGCAACAGCTCTATTATCTATCGCTCAGGGAAACTGAGGCATGAACAATCTGAGCGCAAAATCAAGAAGTAGAATACAGATTTTTTTTTTTAAAGCATCTTTTGAGAGAAATGGAGTTTGGGAAAGAGAAGAGAGTAAGAAGGGAAGTTACACAGAAGCTAAATAGTTAACAGCATATCACCCCTCCCCCAACTAGCTCACATTCCATCAAAACTACGTGGCAGACTTTATTTGTTAATAATATTTAACTTTCTTTGGCGCCTTCTCATACTTAAGCCTCTTTTTTCAGGTTAGTTGTAGACAAGCCATGAATTTGTAAAAGTGCACTTGATGACACATTAATAGGACAATCTGTCATATTGCAGCTAAACAGCTTGACAGATCCGCACACCATGGCAAGAAATGACATTCAGGGCTGGAATGGGGCAATTGCTTTTTTGGTCTGCTGGTGCAGGCTGCATCTGTCTGCCTGCAACATCTCTTTTCCTAACCCAAGAGCCAAATCCCAAGACTAGATCCTCAGATTTGGGGGAAATGAATCCTAACTACATCTGCAATCACACGGCAAAGTTACTTGATGGTCCAGTAGGACAAACTGACTGTAGCTAACTCCCGACTGTGTACTTTTCTCTGCGTTGGGCTGAAACAATGTCAGCATCGTTGTTACCCCGCCTCCAAACTTCAATTCAGCATTTGTATTATCTGTAGAAAATTGCACACCTGGCTGCTGCTGTTCTCACACCCTAGTTGCAGCAGTCCCAAAGCACCTGAGTCTTGACAATGCATGAACATTCAACCCCCGTTTGCAAAAAAATAGGAATAGGCCGATGTTGCACTTAACAGCCCAACAAAGCAAGGATCTCAAAGTTACTGAAAAGACAAATAGTTTCTTCTCTGAGCTCAGCACCATTGCAGCAATAATGGGAATAGTTAAGAATGTAACAATAGCAATTCTGCATGAGGAAAGTTTTGAAGTAGGGAAGATACTGTAAGAAGCCACAATTACATTTCAAAATTGTGTGCAAGAACCCAAATACAGTGTTTGCAAACACTATAAGAAGTGTGTGTAAAGCCGGAGAGGAAACTGAACAGTCAGGCAAGAAACTTGTAATTTGGTCTTTCAATCTCTACTTATACAATTCACCTTTTACTCAAGGTAGACCTTACCTAACCATGCTGCGAGCAATATCCAAAGGGCAAAAGGTCAAAAGCTAGGATTTTCAGAGTTGCCCATTGTAGCTATATTGAACAACTCCTAAGCCTTGGTGCAGAGATAGTGATTTTTTAAGCCAATACAGAAGAAGGCACATTACCATTCACTGACACACGCACCCACCCCTGCTTCATAGCAGATAAAAGTGTAGAGTACTCCTATGATAAATCCCTTAGGTTTAAATCTAAAATTTCCCAGGGCTAATCCAATATAAACTCAACCCACTGTTGAGCGGGTAAACATACAAAAGCTGTTAGAACAAACCTAAACATACCAGCAGACAAAAAGAGCAGCTTTGGGAAGACAGACCAAGAGCTTATGGTCACTTCAATCGCCTTCTGCAAAATCCCCCTGTGGAGCTGCCCGTACCCCACGTTTCACAGAGCCCCTCCGTTCAGCTGTTTCCCGCATTCCCCACCCAGCACAGCCACCCAGCCGCTCGCTCACGACCCACGCGGGATCGCTACGCCATCTCGTGGCAAACCCACAGAAACACCCAGACCTTGGCAAAACAGGGAAACATTTGCTGCTGCGTTTCTCTTGCAGTCGGCTCTTCAGTTACCGAGGTGTGAAATAATGTTGTCAGGGCAAAGCTTTACTGCTAATAAAAGGTTCCTAGTAAACCCTAATAAATCATCCTCATTCGTTGCCCAGAAAAGCCTTTTCAGTAACATGAAATGTGAATCCTTTGAATTCATGTTCAATAGCCTCCCTTTTGTGTGGGTGTGTGTGGGCAATTTTTCAACTGAAAACATGATTTTTCTGCTTTAAGATCTGGCCTTTGCTGGGCAGCAAAAAAAGTATCATCTTGTATACTATTTGTCTTCCCGTGACTGGATGCAATATAAGCACCCAATAGCAACAAATCATTAGCAGAAATTATTCCAAGACATTCAAAAAATACCTTTTGAAACACAGGGCTCAAGGCAGTAACTCTAATTACAAATTATGAGCTTGCTCTTCTGAAGAGAAGACAGCTTGTCACTTGCTGACTGCTTACACATTCAAGGCAAGTTAGAGAATCCATGAGATGGGCAAGCAGCATCTCATTTCTTTGGCCTTCTGTGTATGGGAGAGTTTCCCATTTAATTCTTGGCTAGATAGATACTATCAACACCCGTGATCAGTTTCAAATTGAGTACTTGTGCAGACACACTAGGAGGGTTTTTCCTTACAGAATTTGGCTAGTGTAGGGGCAGAACAATGCCTGTCCTCACAGCAAGAATCCTGCATGACTACATGGATCCAAAATACAGCAACATGGCTATCCTCATCTGACTAGTTCCTTACTAACACAAGCACTAAAAAAACCTGAAGCAAGGCAACTGACATAATGAAAAGCACCAAGTCTAAACAATGGAGTGCAAAAGAACTCCAGGCACAAGAACTGTTGTGAATAAGAAAAAAAGGGCAGAAATACCAGCATTAAGGAAAACGCGTAATTTCATAAAACAGATCAGGACACAGTTCACCTCTGTGTCAGGCAAGCAAAAAAACCTCACTTTCTTCAAGTTATAAAGAAATTGCTATTAGAAACTTCTGTTTTGGACACACACACACAACTGGAATGCCAGGCCAAAATCAAATTCTAAAAGTCACAAGTGAAGACAGCCTCTGAGTAACATTTACTGCTTTACACAGAACTGAAGCTGTCCAGATATCACGAACTAGCTATTCAGTTGCTAAGGAATAGCAGCAGAAAGAAGTCAAACTGTACTCAAACAGCAGCTGCTGAGTTAGTAGCAAGGTTCCAATCCACTTTTTTCTTCAGAGGCACCATCACCGTTGGCAAAAACAGTGGAACAGCAATCTTAGAGTGGCTCCTACATGTCTCAGAGTAGGTACTGAGAACAGCCGCTGCACTACAATGACGTGACGTTTATGTCATTAT